AAGTTGGCTGGCTTATTGGAGATTCTGGGTATCCTCTAACATCAGTTCTTATGACCCCTTTCTTGGACCCTCCAGAAGGAACTGCTAATTCAAGGTACAATAATGCACATATAAGGGCTAGAAATACTGTGGAGAGGTGTATAGGTGTCCTAAAAGGAAGATTCAGGTGTTTATTGAAAGAAAGATCCAGCAGATATCAACCATCCTTCATGTGTGAAGTTGTAAAAGCTTGTGCAGCATTGCACAATATGTGTATTTCAAGAAACATCTTGGCAGATGTGGAAGATATGGCTGACCATGACATAAATGATGTAGCAGTTGCTCATCGTCCAGGAGCACAACATGCTGCTGGGCTCAGAACAAGACAGAGAATTGTAGAAAGATATTTCCAACAGTGAAATCTCATATAAATTATATCTTCCAGAGAGATTCATATCATTATCCTTCATTAAATATAAAGAATTCATTATTATTTTATTTCAAAGTTTCATTATTACTGTACTACAGTTTAAAGCTAAACTGTAACTGTGAACAAATTCAAATACTCATACTCTTTTTTATTATTTGCAGCTTCCTTTTTCACATTATTCTTTATATCAGCCCAAGTCTGAAAATTTTTATGATATGAATACCAAAGAAGTGAAAAAAAAAACAACAAGACAATCACAACTAATGATACTTTGGTATTGTGATTCAATACTAAAAACAAACCACTAGGAAATTACCTTTTGCCATTTCTCCACAGAACGACTACCAAATCCTAAGGCATTCAACTCGGCTGACAAACGCTCCCACAATTTTCTATGGATTGCTTTTCCTGTAGGTCCAGCGAATTTACCTTTGGCAAAAGCATCATGTTGTTCCATAAAACAAACCATTAATTGCCAATGACTACTATTCATTTTGAATGACATCACACTGATCAATAAACTGTGATAATGATAATAGAAAAAAATCCAAATTTGAATATTCTTTTTCTTGCCGATCGACGCTAACCTCATTCTTCAACTAACATAACCACACTTTATTGTAATTCGATACCTCTCTAGGTATCGACGGAGTCGTATCGTATTTCTCGTCATATCGTTAGTTCATAATCGCTAGTCTCGTTTTCAAATGGCGGATACGATACGGATAGACCGTTCGTAATCCCCCTGCAGATTCCTGTATGATCTAAGGAACCAGTTTCGCGTATTGATGCAATTGACAGCAGTGACATTTCATATTTTTGAAATCTGACTGACATTTCAATTTTTCACTTTTGATTTTTCCTTGGTACTTGTGGGAGTGTATGGCCGATTGAAATATCTCCATCGAATTTTTCGATCATCTCTGTATGGATTTGGAGAATTTCAACATTACATGATTCATTACGTATGGGACCAATATTGGATGTTTGTATTTTGAATGAAATCATATTTTCTGCTCTGCAGGATATAAAGCCGAAAGCTCCTGTCTTGTCTATTCAACAAGTACCATTGTGGAAATAACTGACACAGACAATTCACAACATCGGAATTGTTAAAATAACCCTCAGCTACAAAAGAGGGTCCTAGTCCTAGTCCTGGACCTAGTTCTTGCCCTAGTCCTAGGCTTCATCCCACTACTAGTACTAGTGCTACTGTTCATCCTAGTCCCTGGTCATTGTATGTCTGGACCATAGACTCGTGCTGGTATCTATCATATACATCTACACTACTTGTCAAGAGTTTTTTTTCACATTGATTAACAAGAATACCTGCAGTTTTTGCTGTGTCTTCGACAACGAGCAGTCTGCCAGTTGAGGCCTGATTGCCTTGACCAGAGAGAAGAGGGATTCCAATCATAAGTAACGCCATAGGAGCTCCACTGAGCATTCAGATCTGTCAAACTATAAAACATAAGGGAATGCCCCATATACCTGTATAATATTTCACATTCAATATTAAGTTGTACGCTATCCCCGTGACGTCACATGAATAGCCCTTCTCAGGACCTTCCCTATATTTGCATCAATTTAATATACAAAACTATCTATCTGAAATCTGAATGCTCCCTTGAATGCTATTTATATATATGGTGTTATCATATGATTTGAATAGATAGTTTTCAAGGTGTATGACTATTATTTCTTCATTAATCAACCCCAGGGTACTTGTAAATTTTACCAGATATTTGTAAAGTATCGATTCTACCGATAGCAGTGGTTCATCCCTTTCATCAGGGTGGTTTCTGATTTTGGCTAGCGAAAAATCAGTGGCGCACCGGAAAATTTACCCCTTTCATTATATACCATTGTGAAGTGGGGTAAGTGCAATATCGGGGTAAGTGCGACTCTGTGCTGTAATTCCCGTGAAAAAAATTTTCGGACGTGCCATCCAGCGCTTGCCTTCGCGGAACGATCAATCTAACCAGATTCCGTACACACAGGATAAACTGTTTCAACGCTTTTCTCAAGAAGTGAATGGTGATTCAGCAGGTGTTTAGGGATAAATTCATAATCTTCACTTTTTTTCGAGTTCCCAGTGATATTGGTGGTGAGTAGTCAATTAATATATTATGTTTGCATGGAATATAATCAATTTAGCGATAGAAACATTCATAACCCAACTTATGAAGGTGTGTGCACTGCCCCATGAAATTAGTGTTTGGGGCAACTGCGACCAGTGAATTTTGTCAAAGTGCAACTAGTCGCACTTGCCCCGAATACATTTCCGTTTGTAAGTTGAAGATGATCTTACTTTTTTTACAGAAAAATGGTACGAAATTACCAGAGAAAAAAACCAGGCCCAAATACACAAAGGAGGATTTGGAGCTGGCAGTTGAGGCAGTGAAAACAAAAACAATGGGGAGTTTGAGAGCTAGCCAAAGGTATAATATCCCTCGAAGTACCATTATAGATCACTTGAAAGGTCGAAGAGGAATAAGGAGCCAAACATTTGGAAGACCCACTGCTCTTCCGAAGGACGTTGAAGAAAAGCTCGCCGATTGTATAAAGTGTGTTAATAATAACTCCATATGATGAAAGTATTGTACACTGACTATTATTACAGGTGTATGGAGAAATGGGGATTCGGCCTTAGCAGAAAAGAAATTCTAGAGGTCGTGGGCAGCTACGTGAGTCAGAACAAAATAAAAAATATGCCCTTCGAAAATGGAAAACCTGGTGAGGACTGGTTCCTTCTATTCAAAAAGAGGCACAATCTCTCCATAAAGAAACCAGAAGCAGTGGAATATGCCCGAAAAAAAAAATACGGACCCCTTCATTATATATGAATATTTTGCTTTATTGAGAAAAACGCTTCAGGATCTTGATTTATCCAATAAGCCCTCTCAAATTTGGAATATGGATGAGACTGGTTTCTGTAGTGATCCTAGTCGGGTGAAAGTTGTAGGTGAAAAAGGTGCCAACTCTACAAGAATCACAGCTGGTACTGGTAGATCAAATACGTCAGTGTTATTCGCTGCTGCAGCTGATGGGTCAAAAGCGCCTCCTTTGATCATATTCAAGGGAAAAAATGTTTGGGATTCGTGGATAACAGAGGAAGGTAAGGATTACCCAGGAACAACATATGCAGCTACCAGTAATGGATGGATGGAATCAACAATTTTCAAGAATTATTTCATCAAAACATTCATTCCCCATCTGTCAGAACAACGACCTGTATTAGTTCTGTACGATGGTCATGCCACTCATGTGGATTGAGGTGTCATTGAGGCAGCTATAAATGCAAACATTACCATTCTGAAGTTGCCACCACATTCCAGCCACTTACTGCAACCCCTCGATCTCACAGTTTTCCGTTCAGTCAAGTTGAAGTGGGATGAGCTTTTGTTCAAATGGCAGAGAAAAAATATTGAAAAGACACTTAACAAAAGTGAATTGGTTGAATTAGTAGGTATCGTGTGGCATCGTATAGACAACAGTGTTGTCCAATCTGGGTTCAGAAAAGGGGGTATATATCCTTACAATAGTGACGCGGTTCCAAAAGAGAAATTTGATCCCCAAGCATTACAAAGATTTGAAGTAAAGTTTCCTAATGGTTTCATTGTAGATATGCCTGCGTTGGTTGAACTTGAAGAAGAAAGAGTGCCTAATGCTGTCATAGATAATATCAATGACCTTCCTGATTTTACTGAAGCGCACGTTGAATTGATCGATGCTGCCATCGAATCAGTGGCATCTTCGACAGGTGCACTTTCATCTGATGTTGATCACATAGAACTCGACTCAGGAGTGATGGAAAATAATGAAGAGATGACTCATAGAAATACAAATTCGATACCAGTATCTTCTTCTGTTGATCCCGATAATGATAATGAGATTGTTGCAAAAGATCCTGAATATTCACATGTCGCTTCAACTGAGTCACATTCGTTGGCTACTGACACTGATAATGTGAATAATGTTCCAGTATTAACTGAAATCGAAAACAATGGTGAAGATTTGCCAAGCACTTCCACCAATACTGTTTCACAAACCGCTGATTTTGAAACCCTATTATTACAGTTCTGTAAAGGTAGTCAGAAGATCAATGAAAAGGTCAAGAGGAAGAGAATAGCTGAAGGTGCTGAAGTTATAACTTGTGAAGAGGTTCATCTAAGGTTATTAAATAATCCAACATGCAGTTCATCTAGAAAAAAACAGAAAACAACAAAAGACCAGCAGAGTACGGGAAAACAGTCATCAGTTGATGTAACAACTGAAAGCCAATGTGGTAACAATGGTACTGAAAAGAATCATGCAAAGAATAGAAAGAAAGGGAAATTCATATCGAAAAAGAAGATAGGAACTCCTGAAACTACATCAAGTGAATCAGAACAAAGCGTGCAATATGAGGATGAAACCGATTCAGAAATCTGTGAAGCAGAAGACCAAAGTGCAGAGTTCTCAAAAAATATTAGTGACATGGAAATTGAAGATTGGGTACTCGTTAAATTTGAATGCCAGAAGAGCAAATGCAAATACTTCATAAGTAGAATCGAAAGTTTTGAAGAAGGGACGAATGATCCTATCATAAGGTTTGTTGAAAAAAAACAGGCCAAACACGATAATATAGCAGAACCAGTATTCACCTGCGATAGAAGACCTGTCGGTAGTGTCCCGGAATTCGCCAATCATGATACTACCAGAACCTATTGTAGGACGAAGAGGAGAATTGAAATTCCACATCGGTTTTTCGTTTTCAAATTATCACAATCTTTATTGAAAATAACTTAAAAATCACCTTCCGATTGTTATTGTAGTTTTTCTTTATATATCTTGTTCATTCGTAGAGTAAATCTTCCGAAGTATGTAATGATGACGTATATTTGTACATTAATTCCCATACACTATTAGCTATTTTGGTTAAACTATATAAGATAGAGACACAATCGATACAGCGAATGATAGCTGAAAGAATGCTTGTTGATGCCCTTACCCCATTCCACTGTCCATGTGACATGATGGAAAATATGAAGTTATGTCGCACTTACCCCAAAGCTGGGGCAAGTGCGACTAGGGTCTGAAAAAAAATATATTTTTTTTGTATCCATCCACATATGCTTTCTTCGTAGCAGAGTATTATGATTTGAAAGCAGATACCTTCAGTTACCTCACCATGAAATATGAAACATATTCATCAATAAATGATGATATTATCGGAATTAACATTATATTTTTGCTTTTTAGTAGTCGCAGTTACCCCACTTTACCCTAATTCAAAGATACATGAACCGTACCCAAACCCTAACTGAGCAACTGGGAGGGTTAGTGGCAAGTACATTATCTTTTGCATGAACCCTGCTAATCAAATCCTTGCCCCTAACAAGCAAAACTACATGATTTATCCCAAAAACTTTTGTATTGAAAGTAAAATGTTGGTCAGAAATAATGAGTATTTTGAATTTCCATTCTATTTCATGTGGAACTTGGGTAAGGAAAAATAAATAAAAAATAAATTCCAATATACCTATACACACAGGGGATCAAAAATAAACCTTTTAAGGGGTGTTAGTAGCATCAGAGTCCATATGAAACAGATTCAACCATATGTTGTTACATGTCTAATTCACTAGCGATTTATATATCATGCGTTTTCTTGGGTTTGTTTTTGATATACTGACGTATCGGAAATGTGCCTACCTCCTTACGTGCAATGTGTTCCTACTAATTTTCTCAATTCTCCTTTCTGAGTGCTGTCGTGGCTCCGATTCGAGGTAACCTCTGGTATGTTGCCTGAACACAATATGTTTTGTAAAAGAAGTCACCTTTGATTATTCTCATTTGTATTTTTCCTTGGTCACCTGTGACACATGCCATTAAATTTGGTAAAAAGAAGAAGAAGTCTCTTACTGTCCAGTTGATTCGGAACTTCTGATTTCGTTTTATACGGATCTTCTATGAATCATTGAGACAAGTTTGGAAAATGAGTGGTCTGGTTTCTCTGAACAACCACACACCTTGGTGGATTGGATTTCCTGCTTATCTCAAGCTTTTGTATACCTAATCTTCACGAGGCCATCCAACATCGCAGGTTAGTTCTTCCAAGATATATTCACACAATCATATGCTTCCATTAGGCTTCTTACTTGATTGCCTTTTCTCTGGTTAGAATTCTTCTTGATGAAACTGTTCTTTTTAGGCCACTTACCAATACCCCGTACCATTCGTTCATCCTTCCGAGTCCCATTGATTTTGCCCATCAGCAGTCTGGAACTTTGTACGGAATAGAGATACCCTAGTGACTTCGAAGGAATCGCAAGGCTCCGCTAACCTGTCCAGTTGCCAGCTGATAGTATTAGTACTTCTCCAACGTGGAATATTCACAGATAAGCCTATTCATAGAGATCATTTGTTTCTTTCAATACTACATTTGAGATTCATATCATTTCTGACGCAAAATATGTACCAATTTGTCTCCGATAAATGCGTAATTGTCGATGATGATGATAAGGTTAATGGTGAATAAGAGCATCCAGTATCAATTCACACTGTGAACTTTGAGTACGATACCATAACGTTCATTATACTGTCGCTATTATACTGTTCACCAAATATAGGGAATCATTGGTACGGTAGATTTTCAGTCATATGTAGTATATTCCTGAAACAGTAATATTCATCATCAGTGCGGATAGGAACCTCAGAGCACCGATTCACATTTCACTTGTTTTGGTCATTCACTGCCTTTGTTTCTTGTGCATCTTGTTGAGGAAAAGCAATACACTCTATCATATCTGTAATAACTTGTATTTATTTCTACTCACTTCTCTCTCCACTGAGCAAGGGTCTGTTAAGGTACTTCGTTCTTCAGTTCGTCGAGATTTTATCCTCGAGGAAACGAAGAACGTAACAATATTATTAGTATACCATATTTGAAAAAGAATGAAAATATTCAAGTGTGTGTTTCATTTTATAATTCAGTATAATTTAAAGTAGTGCTATTTCCATTTTGCAACAGATATTTGAATTAATGCTAGTGGATTGATGTTAATGATGTAAAGCAACTATACTAATAACATATAAGGAAAAACAACTTTGAGTAATAAACAGGGACAGTCAAAAAGACAGGATTCTTTATTGTAATACCACTAAACTCACCCTATGGAAAAAGCAAGCACTGGAAATGAGGTAGGAACAATATATATATGAGAGTTTATTGAAATTGATTTGAGGAAAAGTTTAGCATTTGCTGATTATTTTCAGCTAGTATGAAAGGAGGTATATAAGTTGTAACCAAGATTGGAGAAAATATTACTAAATGGTGTACAAAAAGCAGGTCCATCACATTTCTGAGGAAGAAAATTGAGAAATATATACATGAGGATGAAAGGTATAGGAAATGGAACTTTTGGAAACTTCATAGAGATAGTGAGCAGGATATTGCATATTAGGTCTCAACATAGATGTATTAAGTTACTTAATGTATGATTTTGTTTTTTTTTTTCTTCCAAAGATCATGAAGATTGTTTGAAATATAATGAATGCTTTTCTCTTTCAAGTTGATTACATTATCACAATATAAATAACACCAAATTACTATCATGCACATCGAAAACCATTTAAGCAGGATCTATATTATGTTGATATCCATAGAATTTCAAGACTAAATAGTAGTTCAAGTGGGAAGGCTTAAAATTACATACCTGAACATTTTTCTAATGTTAACTGATTCCTTGAGCAGCCTTGTAGTTCAGAAGTTGAGGGCACTACTTCTTCTCCGCTACTTCCAAAACTGGGGTGGCAAATCCCATTATTCCTGGGTGTTGGAGGCTGTTGAACAGAATCTCTAGGAGAATTTATTAGATTTGAAGCAGGAACTGCTGATTTCTTCAACCGGGGTCTCACAGATGGTACCTCTGAAAATTCATTCATAAAATAGGTATATCATGATGCCCATAATATTTCTCAACTTACCTGGTGGAATGAATTGTTCAGTGCAGAAATGCAGAGAACAAACGCGACAGTTTTTCCTTGTTATTGCCAGTTTTCTGATCCACGCCTCACGTTTATCAATTCTCTCCAAGAAACCAAATCGATTTTCAATTACCACAAATAACTTCTTCGGTTCTGGAAATCTATGGAGGGATATGTTCCTATCATCATTCCCATTCCTACATTTTCCCATTCGGCTAGTGCAGCTATCAACACAACACGCCACAACCACAGAAAAAACCGTTAAACTCAGACCAGCAAGAAGAGAAAATTGGCGCTAAATTTAAGTAGGATACACAATAACAAACATGACCTTGAATTATGTCCTAAACTGGTTCAAATGTGTCACCTTGCCAATTTCCAAACACTCAATGAATGTCGTGGTGACAAATAACGCGACAGAAGATTTTGGAATGTTCTGTAAAAAATCGATGGAACAATTACTGACCTTGGTGTAAAAACCGGCCAAGTCCTAAAATCAAAATTTGTGGGAAATCGAGAAAAACTTTCTCAATTTGAAAATAAACTTGAGATCGGCCCAAACTCTGAGTTGAATATAGATATCATCGATGTCTCATATACGACCAAATATAAAATTGATATTTAGTAAAAATCATGCCAAAAATGATTTTTGAAAATTAGGACTTGACTGACTTTTGCACCAAAATATTGAATCAAAGAAGCAAAAACTTGAAATACTATCATTTATTCCAACATAAACTCCTAATCGAGAGCAGAACTAAATGAAAGAAGAGTCTGATACATATGCAGCGTCTTCTTGGGTATTTACTGCTTCCTCTGGGAGCTGTGGTCCTGGTTCTTCTCTAACTTCTCCAAATATCTTTCTGTAGTAACCGTGGTATGCTCCTGGCACATATTTTTCAACCAATAACTTCACATCTGTCAGCTTCTTTTCATTTATTGGCAAAGGATAGCTCTGGGTCATTTTCGTCGTAGGTAGCGATAATTCACAGCCAAGCTTAGTAGCGGAAAATTGGGTGAAAAGTGGAAAGGAAGCAGTGGGGCTACATTCGATGGAGTTAGAGCCGCATTGATATTTGAATAATCGGAATGTTGAGATAGAAAATTTAGTTTTCGTTTGGCTCGTAAACGATGCTTTAAAAATGGGTTTGAAATGCTCGCTGAAGTCCATTATTATGTCTTGGGTAACATCTATGACACGAAACTTTTTGCTAGTTTTTCTTACTAGTTCCTTCCATTCGGCAGGTACATAAACTCTCTCTTTCCTTCTTTTCTCTCTCTCAATTAAACCGAAGGAGCGGTCACAGGGTAAGAAACTGTGACCAGGCTCAGGATATTGATGAATGATTTGTGCAATATGTTTAATACGCTGATTAACCAAAGTGAACAAATATTTAGTCATTGTATGATTTTTGTTCTGTGCGAACGAAGTGTCAGAAAATAAGTACAATGTTGTTACACAGTCGGGAAGAAACGTAGTAATATAATGGTGGAGAAAACTTATAACTTCATTGCTACTTTTCTTTGATGTGGCTTCGTCGTACATGTAAAATGTTGATAACCCGGTTTTTCCTGAGAAAATACAAAAGTTGTATTGCCACAGCTGTCGCTTATAGAAAACGTCTCCAGCTGGGACATGGGGAAGAGGAAGATTCTGTTGGTAGTCAAAACATAAAACTTCAACTGTTTCATCTGTATTGGCAAGTTGAGTTTTTTCTTTCAATGACGTATAGAATACTTCTGCTTTCCTAATATGTACTGCTTTTTCTGTCTGTAATACATGTTTGGCCTCACGATCCTGCTCTGCTGCTATTAAATTCTGTAACCTATCGCATGTCTGACATGTGTCTGAACGTGGAGAACCAAAGCTTATATTGTGATTTTCGCGAAAATGACGAAAGTAAAAGTCATACGAAACTTTTGGCACACATTTTTCTCCACTTTCCAGTTTCTTATATACATCCGGTTCATATTTTTCTAGATATAACTTATGCATCTTAGAAATATTCAGATCAGACGATAAATAAGTTCGACGTTCGTTTTTTTCTCTACTATAATGTGACGAGCGCTTGGGAAAGCTTAGTATATGGTTATCTATTGTACCTATGATATTCTGTGGAATTTTATTTGGGCGGTTATTATGCTTCCCCCTCATGTCCATTGGTGCGGCAATGTTTTCTTTCAAACTTATTCCTATACGATTCGCCCGGTGTCTAGTGATTCCATGGATTGAACAAAATGCCTGTCTGCAGACTATATATTCAGTGCCCTTCACACGAATCTGGAACAAAACAATAATATTTCACATGTTGCATAAATAAAGAAACAAAGAACGATACGTGCATTTTTTAATATTTCATTTTACCTTGTAATGGAAAGTCACAGTCTTTGCTTTTCCGGTTCCTGTTCTTGATCTTTTCCTTGCCACCTGGTCTACCCGGATTAGGCCACCCAAGTACAGATCTTGCTTTTCCTTACTAGCTAAGCCATTGAACTCCTTCAAAACTTGGTTTCTCTCTTCGACATTGATCTTCGAAAAACATTTGCGACGACAAGCACAATCATTTCCCACTTTTCTCGCTGGTATCAACTTTCTACTTTTCACTGTAGTGTACTCTTCACCTGTTACCATTTTCACTTTTCTTATATTCCGTTGCCATAGTGCCTCATTTCGTATTCTCTTTTTCCCTTTTTTGTACTAGAAGTACTTACATTGTCTGGTAAAATAGGCCTGTTCACAACTGGTGTCAAATTCGGATCATTCAAAGGGCTCTTCCCAACTTTCTTACGTTTTTTCACCTGTTTCTTAATTTTTCTGATTTTTCCTCGGCTAGTACTGGGCTGATCGCTATCAGATGGCACATACTCACTACCTGATGATATGAACGGTTCCGTCTCATCAGATGACATTATTCGTGATATTATCACACTACTAGTACATGTTAATACGCACGATAAACAACAGACTACCTTAGGTCCTCGCTCACAAATGAATACTATCATGTCGAAGCATGTCTCCCGCCTAGAATCGGAGCTTCCGATCGCCAGCTGTCATGTCCTCCCACTCCGCGAATATCATCGTTGGTGCAAAAATCGATCAAGTCCTGGACATGGCTTGTTTTTGCCCCATAGAGTATGGTCAGCCAAGTCCTTCGAGCATTGCATACCTTTAATATAACTCGGACCTGTCTGATTTTTGCACCAATCGATGGAGAATGCCCAAAATTATATACGCAGTGGAAAAACGTAATTACAGCCATAAGTGGACTTGGTCGGTTTTTGCACCAAGATCTTCAATTATAGGGAGTGGTTTTGTTCTAAGAAGCTTCTAGAACAAAAAGAGAAGCAAAGCCTACCAAGGCATCGCATTTATAAGGACGGCCGGACAATTGCCGTCAGTCAGTCAAGCAGCGAGTGTCAGAGAGACAGTCATATACCGTGTGATATAAATCGTGATATGAATAGTAGTTATAAGTTCGATATAAATTACTGATCCAATAGTTGAAATAAATCAGTTCGAAAATAGATAGAACCGTGTTCGCTTCTGCACCCGAATAACGTAACAATATGACTACTGTTGAAGGAAATGGCTGGAGTTCTGCAATAATCAATAAAGGGTCACCTCACCATTTCGAGTTATACGAAAAGGGTTCATCACACTTTACGATGAACTTACAAACATCTGCACCTATTCTGATTTTGGACATTGGCAAAGGAGATGAAGACTACATAAAAAGGTATCTCAAAGGTATTTTCAATGAAAGACCAGGAGGACCAAGTTATCAAGTTAAGTTGAGTGGTTAATTAGGTTCTCTAAAATGGGAAAAATCACAAGGAAAAATTGAATAATAGTAGATTGTTTTATTAGGATCAAAAGTGACACTTTGTTTGACAAGCGAATTTTGCATTTGCGAGGCGGAGCGTTGAGCGAAGCCGAGCGAAAGCAAAATTTGCGAGTCGAACAAAGTCACTTTTGATCCGAATGAAACATGCTATTTTTTCTGCAACCGAAACAATCGACTCAAATAAACATGTGAAGTAACCACCAATGCCGTGCCATATGTATGGTATACAACAAATATTGACAAATAATCCGTGTGGTGTGAATATTCTACCTGCATTAGCAGCAGGTTAGGTTTTCAAAGATAGTAGTTTCAATATAAATACAACCACAGAGTGACATATTTGTGTATGGACCAGGTGCTCTAATGGCAAATACCACGCTGGTGCCAGCTATAAGACGTGGAAAATGTTAGGTTAGTGAGCATATCAACAATAATAATAGCGATCATTTATTCCTCTCCATACTACACTGCGTTTGACTTGATAATCAAATAAAGCTAAACAATATCTTAGTTTGAGACAAAAAACTATTGCTTGCCGTGATTATTCAGAAACAAGTTATCCATCCCCAGAATAACGAATGAAATACAGATCAAGCAAGTATTTGAATCTTGAAGGCTTTCCTGATCAAAACAAAAATACCTAACTGAGATGTTCATAATTCCAATACTGAACTATAATAAGGAGTATTTATATCTCCAGCATGGGTATGAAATGCCAAATCTGCTGAAATCGGAAACAAATCAGGTATGCGTCTCAGCAAAAATAACCAATCGTCACAACAACTTTAGCTCCTAGGAACTAAATATGTTACCTATTTTTGTGTCAGTAATAGAAATGTCAATTTGAAAGCTAATTCTGGTATCAAAATGGGCGACTTTTGTGTCGGTTGCAGAAAAAATTCCATTATCGTAAAACGGGGTTACTTTGCCAACCTTCGGCGTACTTTGCAAGGTGTGTGTAGAAGTGTTTTATTATCCCATTACAAGATAAATTGTTGAATTCCTAGCACATACTATTTTTATCCCATAGGGGGAGTTACAATAGTCACTGTAGCGGAATTGTACGTTCGTACATGTGTAGAAGCAGTTGGAAATGGAATGAGTACCAGAGTAGCCGCGGAAACATATAATATATCACGGAGAACCATTATGAACAAATTGAAGAATGTACACACAAATAAATCAGGTTAGTCTGCTACATTTACGAATGAAGATGAAAGGGCCTTTGTTTCTTGCATTCATCAAATGAGCGAATTCGGGTTTCCAGTGACTGAGGTGGAGCTTTGTCAAATAGCAAGGACATTTTTAAATAAGAAAGGTGGGAAAATATTCGTTGTTGTTGTTGATTCCGTCTTCATTTTATTTTGTTTCACCTTAACAGTTAGGAGAATACCTCGTTTCAAAGAAAACTTCCTGGCAAGGACTGGGTTGAAGCCTTCTTAAAGAGGCATAAGGACTTAACAGTCAGGATTATATAGAGAACTTGAATCAAACTCTGGAGGGAGTTCTACCACATGCAATTTTCAATTATGATGAAACCAATTCAACGGATAATCCTAGTCAAAAAAAAGTTTTAACCAAACGGGGCATGAAATATCCAGAGAGGATAGTTATTTCATCAAAGAGTTGAATTTCCCTGATGATTGCAGGAAGTGCAGCAGGTGAGGTTCTGCCGCCTTATGTGGTTTATAAATCGAAATTGGACACGTGGACAGAGAATAGCCCACCTAGTACTTGCTACGGCAACACAACCAAATTTAATAGCAGGATTCAGAAAATGTGAAATAGTTCCATGTGATGAAAGTCTCTTATTAGAGCGCTTACATAACAATCATAATAGTGTCATCAATCAAGAGAATATACCTGCAATAGAAAATTCGTTTCTTGAATCTTTGGGAAATAAAAGGAGGGAAGCTACTCAGTTCCAAGTCCGGAGCAAGGAGAAGAAAATAACCTTTGCCACACTAGAATAGTGAAAAAAAAATGGATACCTGTATATATACACTTTAATTTTCCTTGTCCTCTCCAATTTGCGTTCTATCAAAACAAACGAAACAGATGAAATAGGGTTGATTTTACTCTGGGTCGTTGACCATGAAAAGTGGCAAATTGACCAGAGGGCTCAGTCGGGGAATTTTGGGATTTCCCAAGACAAGCATACTTACTGTATTAAGAAGTCGAATGGGCGCCACGTAGTTTTCTTTTTTTTTTTACTCCATCAAAAATATAACATAAAAAGGTTATAGGTTCTAAAGCACTATAGCTAAACCACGAAAAATATCGCGGAAGTACTCGAGAAGAAAAGAAAAGAAAATAACGACAAAGCAAATATATATATAATATATGAATGATTAGCAGCGATCAATTACGAAATGGTGACAATGACATAACAGGTTGGCTAATTTCATTATTTACGAAAATGAACCGTCACACTTTTCCAGCCGGAAAAAGCATTGCTCACAGCGAAATCGGTTCTGTTGATTTACCTGGAAGTTCGAGAATAGTTAGAGCTCAAATTTCCAGAGGAGTAAGATGAGCTTCCGGAACTTAGAGATTCCGATAGAGATTCCGTTGATGAAGTTGATGAAATACAAGACAAGGAGGGGGAAATTGAATTCAACAAAAACCTTGAATTTGGTTATTTCGCCAAATCTGCAGCTGAAAGAATTCAAGAAGCAGGTCTTTGAGATATCCAGAGAACTGTAGGTGTATATGTGTAGTCTTTTATGATGGCAATCCGTATCCTGGAGTCATAACCGAAATTGAGGGCGAAATGGTTGAGATTAACGCAATGGTGAAGTCATTAATATTTTGAAAATAGTCCGGAAAGTCAGATGAATTTGGTATAGTTGGGATGAGATAATTGGTGCAATAAAGCACCTAAGCAAATGACCAAACGTGGTTTGTATTCTGTATCTGACTGCAACCGATTCTTGTGGAATTATTGTTCATCGGATTTGTTATTGTGTTCAATGTATTTTAGGTTGACTTTTATGCCAGAATGAACGTCCATTTCTTTTATTTTTCGAATAATGAATGATTACAATCTTATTATTTGTTGATTATATGCCTAAACCACGCAAAAATTAGAAATTCCTATACCAAGAGAACCGCACGTTCTTGAACTCGGTATGGTGTTTATTTGAACAGCATCGATTTTACTGTACAAAAACCAGTCTTGAATGAAGTGGTGCAAAGTAAACCCATCGTATAGCCTACTTTGCACCATATTTCATATGTACATATTTTAAACCTAAATTAGATAGGCATATATTTCAACAACTCTAATATAGATCTAAGAAATTGCAAAATTTTTAGGATGCCTTGTTAGGTATGTATCACAAACTATTGAAATGAAGTCACAAAGTGGAGCAAAGTACCCCGTTTTACGGTATATGGTAAGTATTTTGTGTTGTATTGGTGATACAGAGTTATTTAAAAAAAGAGGAAGATATGTACAAGATAATGGCTTCTACGAAGAAATATTGGTAGAGGAATCCTACCTATGATTTTTGATGGAATCAGATTGGAATATATCCCATAGTGAAGTTCAAAACTACCTTAGAATGGATGGAAGATATTTCAGATTTTTATCAATCCATATATGCGCGTGAACGTATACCTGCAAAAATGAAGTGTCAACCAAGCATAAATTTGGGATTGGAGCAAGATGAGATTTTTTTATGATTATCCGAAACGGTCCTCAGTCCAATTACCAGCACAGGCATTTTTTCAGTATTAATAATATTGATTATAGTATTTCTTTTCGATTCCCAAGATATAAAATAATGATCGATGGAGAAAACATGAAAAAAAAAACACCCTGACTCATTGTTCATAGGAATAAAACAATATTTTCATAATCTACTCAAGGTTTGAGAAAATAAGTAACTAGATATCTTGTTAATTGTTCCATACACAGATTGATGCGGTGGCTATCCAACTGATGGAAGACCAAACTTTGCAGCAGTGGATACCCCGTTATGGAGACAGACTTGCCCTAAAAGATTTTGGTAAAAGGCACTTAGCTCTGAAGAAGTCCAGTTTGATAGAGATATTGAGGAAGAGAGTTATGTTCACAAATGCTAAAATAGCTGAAAGGGGCTATTGTGATAGTCAACCCCAGAAAAAAAAAAAAAGGTATCACGAAAACACTGGAAAAATTGAAATTGGTTGGATGTGTTGAAATTCGAAAAATAAACTTTGTCAGGTGAGACAAGCTCAAGGAGCCTAGATATCGACAAAAACGCTACGCTTGAGATTCTATCTGTCAACAACCAATGTTGAACATGAGAATGCTGTAGAAGACGATAATGCTGTAGAAGACGATATTCATATCAGCGATAATAAAGATATTGATATGTCGTGTTTTTCTTCTCCGGTTCCTGAAGAAGAGTGCGATGTTATGGACCTCTTCACTATACAAGGTAAGATGGTCAAATTAAGGCGAAATTGCGCAGTCTTGTGACTAAAAATATGCCGCCGAGAAAATGTTAAAATTCCGAGTATTTCCAGAGATATACGAAAAAAAAAATTAAAATGTGGTCAGGTTATGTGGGGTTAGGTCAAGTTAGGTAAGGTAAGGTTGGGTCAGATCAGGTTGGGGTTGTTTGGGGCACAGAGTAGGATCAGCAGGATGCAGTAGTTTCCGCAGAGCAATCTCGCAGGCCAGAAGAGAGAACAAGCGCTCCAAAACAGGACTATCACAGCATTTCCCAACACTAAACCCCGACGGCCATGAGGCTAAACTGTGATATGATCTGTGCACAAGAGCCAAACAAGAACATGACCAAAAGGCATCGCTGGATTACCGACGGATACAGTAACGTGGCAACATACTTCATCAACCGTAAACTAGGAATCCGGAAGCACCAAACTTGCATAGGGTACACCAAGATTTATTTCAGCAACTGGGTTTCAAACAACTGCTATGTGTCTCCAAATATCTCTTTGCAGTCCTTCAAGGATTACATAGATGAAATAATGGAAAGCATTAGAGCTGAACGGGCAGAAGTCTTAGTCCTTGGAGATCTAAATGCCAAATCTCCTCTCTGAGGTTCGAGATTCTCTGATAGACGGGGAGAGTACACCGCGGAATGGCTCGCTACCCTGGACCTGGCTGTGGCAAACATAGAAAACCGTCCAACATTCTCAAGAAGAAACACGTCTTCTTTCATCGATGTCACCTTTGCTTCAAACTCTCTCGCACACCAGATCGAAGGCTGGGAGGTACTGGAAGAGGACTCCTTCAGTTGCCACAAGTACATTGTTACCACCATGGTACATAAGTCGGCCAAAGAAAAACGAGTCATGAAGGGCAAACCCTACATTGATAAGGACATTCTTCGACCCGCTATCTTTCTAGTGCACAACCCAGCTAACTGTGAGCCGCACGACATAGTCACCAACCAAAGTAGCGCAAAACGTTGCCTGTACCCAAAAGGCTCAGGCTGCTCCACGAACGCAACCATACTGGTGGAATAACGACATCCAGGATCTGAAGGAATCATGCAACAGGCTCAGGCGCAGGCTTGCAAGGACCAGGAGAACAAACCAGAACACAACCGAGCTGGAAGCAGAGTACAAATCCCACAAGAAGAATTACAAAAAAGCCATACTCTCCTCGAAGCAGAAACACTGGTCAGAAATATGTCAAGATCTTGAACACGACATATGGGGTCAAGGATACAGGCTAGTCACAAGACACCTTAAAAATAACGGCTCGCCATACGATATGGATCCTGAGGAGAAATGGAACATCGCAGTAAATCTCTTTCCTCGGAAAGACGACACCTGGATCACAGACGACAGAGCACACGCATTTCAAGAGGCCACTATTGAGGAAGTCAAGACAGCATGCGAGAAACTTAAAAATGGCAAGGCTCCAGGCCCAGACGGTCTTGCAGCAGAGACCATAAAAGAGGCGGTGAACATGATTCCAAACGCCGTATTGTCCCTAACAAACGAAGTGCTGCGGACACAAAACTTTCCGGAGATATGGAAAAAAGCCTCAGTCATACTAATCCCCAAACCAGGGGGTAAGTTCAGAACAATATGCCTTTTGGACGCCATGGGGAAACTGATGGAGCACGTGATCAAGAGCAGGTTAGAGCTAGAGCTAAGCGAAAAAAATGGCCTTTCTGAGAGGCAATATGGCTTCAGGAAAGGAAGATTCACCCTGGATGCTGCAAATTGGCTGCTTCGTGAAGCAACAGACAGGCAGACGAAATGGGGTGCCGTCATCACTATAGACGTAGAGAATGCTTTTAATACTGCTGGATGGAGCTTTGTACTGAACAGGCTGCGCGACATTGGAATCAGCCCATACCTAATCAAATTGGTAGAAAGTTACTTCTCCACGCGAAGTCTAGTGATTCAAAAGGGAAGACACATCGACATGACCCAGGGTGTTCCACAGGGATCAGTTCTCGGACCCACCCTGTGGAACGTTCTGTACGATCCTGTCCTCCATCTGAACTTACCCCCCGGTTGCCAGACAGTGGCCTACGCGGATGATCTCGCTCTGATCATCAGAGCGCCAGACAAGGAAAGCCTGGTAAGCGCTGCAGATAGAAGTCTGGGTGAAATTGCAAGGTTCATGGTCGCATGTGACCTGAAGATAGCAGAGCACAAAACGGAGGCAATCATCTTACGTGGTCCAAGAAACAGGAAAGACATAATATTCCGGATAGGAGACACGGATATAATTCCTAAGATTCGTCAAATACCTGGGTATCTGGTTGGACGACGGTATAATATTCAATGAGCACATCCGAAGAACCGTGGAAAAAGCCGGAAAAACTGTAACGGCCCTCACCAGGCTCCTCCCAAACGTGAACAGTATCAGCTTATACAGGAAACGGGTCCTCTACGGAGTAACCCAGTCAATTTTGTTATATGGCGCACCAGTCTCGGAGAGGGTCATGCAGGTCCAGAAATACAAGGACATGGTATGCAGCCTCCAAAGGAAAATGCTGCTTAAAGTTATTGCCGCATATAGAACTGTGTCACTGGAGGCAACCTGTGTCCTCGCCGGGGTTCCACCTTTTGAGCTGCTGGTAGAAGAAAGGAGCAGAATTTACAGCAGTGAGGGGGACAGAGTAGTAAACACTACAAACGAACAGAGGGAAACCAGAAGACGATGGCAACAGAGATGGGACAGTAATGGAACAACCGCCCAATGGACGGAGAGGCTCATTCCAGACGTCGAAGCATGGACAACCTGCAAATTCAAAAACTTAAACTACTACACCACACAGTTCTTTTCGGTCACGGTTCCTTTCGAACCTACACTCTCGAAATCAAGAAAACAGAAGACGACTTGTGTATATACTGCGGACAGAGAGACGACCCGGAACACACAATGTTCGTCTGCCACAGATGGCACAATGAAAGAAGTAAGCTTGGTGCAATAGTAAATGCTGATAATATAACAGAACACATGTTGAGCAATCAAATTTCATGGAACGATATAGCTCATTTCATCTCATCGGTAATGGAAAAGAAAGAGGAGGAAGAGAAATTGCATAGGAATAGGAATATAGAACACTTATAGACAATGCCGCTCGTACCTGAAGATATGTCAAGCGATGTTTCCAGGACGAGAGAGGTCAAGAGGGGGTTTTAGTGGGTAGAAAGAGTCCCACACTCGCACGCGGCGATAGAACCAAGCCCGTGTAGTGCATAAAGCATTCCCCCCTCACAAAAAAAATGTTAGGTTGGGTTAGGTGAGGTTCGGTTAGGTTAGGTTGGGTTAGCTTAGGTTGGGTTAGGTTAGGTTGAGTTGGGTTAGGTTGGGTTAGGTTGGGTTAGGTCAGGTTGGGTTAGGTTAGGTTAGGTAAGGTTAAGTTGAGTTAGGTTAGGTTGGGTTGGGTTGGGTTAAGTTAGGTCAGGTTAGGTGGGCCGGAGGGTTTGCTCCCAGGCTAGTGTCATGCGCAAAACAAAGCATCTGCACTAGCAAGACCGTAATGCGAGCTCGATCGATGCACACCCTACTCGAGGTCGGCCTGTCTCTTACTGAACATTACGGATCTAGAGGAGTCAACCTCCATAAAAGAAACTCTGGAAGGGCTCATTATGATGAGTGTAGGAGGCGGCGACTCCTGGAAATCCTAGCTGAACCTTTACCTTCTTCAACTAGTCTTAGGTGAGGTTCCTATACATCTTCTTCTTTCTTCTTCCGCCTACCTTGGCACACTCTCCATTCTTTCTTTCACTATTTCTCTCCTTTTCGCCTATCTTGGCAAACCTCTAACATCTATGCCCTCTCGCTTCCTGCCAGCCTTGGCAAACCTCTTTCTCACGGGTACAGGGGAGGCGGCTGTGCCTTTCTTCACTTGGCCACCCTCGGCTACCGCGTCTCCCAACCCCAAGGTGTAGCTCCATCGTGCTGATGGGGTGCATGGCACAGGGATGATATAGTGTGTCACGAGCGATGCCCGCCGGACCGGGCAACACGGCGGGGAAGATGCCTTACTCCTGCAAGCGGGGCTCTGCAGGAGTGGACCGAGATGTCCCTAGCTACTCGTGAGAACTTAATTGGAAAACTCAACAAATAAAAACGGTAATGAAGGCGATATGGACAAGAACCTAGAGGTTGCACTCTTGGAGCGCAGGAATGCAGCAACAACGGCGGCATCGGCAGCACTAGCAGCAGCAGCAGCAGCAGCCTCCACGAGAGAGGAGGAAATGAGACTGCTCTTTGGCAGGAGGGATTCCTCGCCTCGATCACCAAGCAGGAGGACGAGTACGAGAAGTACGAGCAAGAGTGACAGCAGGAGTGTGGGTAGTGGGAGCGTTAGCTCAGAAGGAGAATTCGCCACCCCAAAAGAACTTAACTGGAAGCAGGACGACATGTTCTGGCAGGAAGATACGTTCGGTAGTAGCTCGCTCGACTTGAGCAAACCTGCACCAGAACGCACAATGAGAGAAGATTTTCTAGCGGCCAGTGCGGACCATCAGGAACTAGAAGAGGAAGAAGATTTTATAGTTCAAAGACTCAAACGGAAGAGATGGGGGTCGCCACGCCTTAGGCAGGAGCCAGGAAGGCTGGAGGTGGACTCCAAGGACTTCAGACAAATGGTAGAAAAACTGAAGAAGAATAGCGATCAACTTCGGACGCTCGTGAACAGTAACCCCAACACACAGAAGGGAATAAGGAAAACGATAGAAGACTTAGGGTACCTCATGAAGAGCTTCGTGAAGAGGTGCGAGGAGTGGAAAGCTCTCTCAGATAGTTCAGACGCCCATAAAGGAGCTGCGTCGGAGTACAAGGAGAAGGAAACAGGAGGAAGTACCAGGGAAGCAGGCACACAAACATCTACTGAGGAGCAGCTTGGCTGTGCTATGGAGAAGAAGCACACGAGAGACCAAGGCACTCAAACTGGAACCATCGAGACTGCAGACCTTGAGAGAGTAGCGACGTTCGAGGCAATCAAAGGTCTGCTCGACAGAGTTTGGCCGGAGGATATATACACGAAGACAACCATGGAATGGAAAGATCTAGCTACACTGATTGCGGACAAGGATGTGGCAATTATAGTAGATCCAGAAGACAAGGGAGACAAAGGGCTGATGCTAACCATGAGGCAGAAATTTCCGGAAGCACAGGATATGCTCAGTACACTCAAGGACAGCAATATCGAGTACCTAATGAGAGCCAAAAAAACTCCACAAGCAGAGGAGAGGACAAGGAAAGGACAGGGTATACCTTTCTGTTGCCCATAAAGTTGGAGCTAGGCGAGGAAGTTGATTTGGGGAAGCTACATGAAGTTCTAGTACACCTTAAAGATGCGATGATAACAGAGAAGAGATCAGTTATTAACCTAGTGCCCATGTACAGGATATGCAGAGACTCCACACGCAAAATACTGGAATGCGTGTTCAGAGAAACGGACATGAAGGTAGTGATTATAACCCGAGAGGAAGACAAGAAGAGGCCAGCCTTAAGAAGGCACAAGAGCAGAAGATCGGAAGAAACGGTGGAGGTGAGAGCTGAAGGGAAAAGCTATGCGGAGCTACTGCGCTCGGTCAAGGACGGAATAAATACGGAACAGATAGGAGTCAACATTACCAAAATCAGGCGCTCAGGAAAGGGAGATCTGATACTGACCGTTGCTGGTGGAAGAGAAATGGCGACAGCCCTGAAAGAAGAGATCACAGGAAAACTACAGACAGTAGAAGGGAGAACTAGATCGAGTAACAATACGACTATCTTCATCACGGGAATCGATGTGGCAACAACTAAGGAAGAAATCGCAATCGATATTGGTAGAGAAACTAGTGAGGAGCCTTCGAAGATAGTGGTGAAGTCTCTGAGGCTTGGGAATTTCGGTAGCCAACTTGCGACGATAGAGATGCCGAAGACAACCGCAGAAGGCATTATCCGCAGTGGGAAAACAAAAATTGGTTGGATCAACTGCAAGGTCAGGGAAAAGGTGCAACTGGATAGGTGCTACCGGTGCCTGGAATTGGGGCACAGGACTGCAACCTGTAAGGGGCAGGATAGGTCCAAATGTTGCATAAGGTGCGGGGCGGAAGACCATAGGGCACGCGACTGCAAAAATGAGCCACACTGTGGGAGTTGTGGAGTGACAGGGCATCGGAGCGACCAAACGAGATGCCCAATCTTCAGAGCTGCGGTGGAGGAGCGTCGTAAGGCCAGGATGGACCTCATCCGCCAATAACTTGTCAGAGAACGGCACCTTCCCGGACCAGTGGAAGGTAGGCAAAGCAATACTTATTCCTAAAGGCGACCCAAGAAAGGAAGAGAAGTTCAGGCCCATATGCTTGCTGGATGGGTTAGGCAAGGCTTATGAGTACCTTCTGAAGGCTAGACTGGAAAGGGAGCTCGACGAAAAATCAGCTATCGCCGACACCCAATTCGGCTTCAGAGCGGGAAGATCTACAGTTGGCGCCGTGAGCCATCTGTTAAATGAGGCCAACAGAGGACGTAGGACCTGGGCGGCTGCCATCTTGGTCGACGTGAAGAACGCCTTCAACACGGCCAAGTGGCACCTGATCGCCCAGGAGCTTAGGCGAATTGGGATCAGTCACCATCTGCGCCTGGTGCTTGAGGACTACCTTACTGGAAGAAGGTTGACTTATGGCAGGGAAAGTATGGTACTAACCCAAGGGTGCCGCAGGGGTCCGTACTCGGACCCACCCTGTGGAACATCTTATACGACGGCATCCTGAAGGTGAGACTCCCAGAGGGGTGTGCCACGGTGGCCTACGCTGATGACCTGGCCCTCGTTGTAACAGCCCAGAGGAAGGAAGACTTGGTGCGAAGGGCAAACCAGGGATTGGCTGCCATCAGCGAGTGGACGGAGGCACGTGGATTGGAGATTGCCCCACAAAAAACTGAGGCCATTGTGATTAGGGGCCCCAGGAAGCGGGACGGAATTCGGTTTGAGCTGGCGGGAACGGAGGTGATGCCCAAGAAGTTCGTTAAGTATCTGAGCGTTTGGCTCGATGACAAACAGATATTTAACGAGCACATACGGAAGACATGTGAAAAGGCGAACAGGCAGGTGAGGGCGCTTACCAAGGTTCTGCCGAATACGAGGGGTCCTGGCTATTTTAAAAGACGGGTCTTGTACGGCGTTGTTCAGTCGGTGCTCCTGTACGCTGCGCCAGTGTGGGGGCAAGTCATGAGAGTAGCAAGATACCGGAACCTCATGCTTGCTACGCAGAGGAGGATGCTGCTTAGGGTTGCGATGGCGTACCGGATCGTGTCGGGGATGGCCATGAACGTTATGACGGCGGTTCCTCCAATTGATCTCCTGATAGGGGAGAGGACCAGAGTAGCGGAGATCCGGAGCCCCACGAATGAGGAGAAAAAGGCCGAAAGAGGCATAACAATTCAAAAATGGCAGGACGAATGGGCGCGGAACACCACCGTGGCGCAGTGGACGAAACGTTTGATACCTGAGCTGGAGGAGTGGACTCAGTGCAAGCACAAGACATTAAATTATTATTTCACGCAGGCTCTGAGCGGACACGGATCTTTTAGGACGTAAACACATAAGATTGGCAGAGCCCAGGACACGCTTTGCGTGTATTGTGGAGAATAAGACGACCCTAACCACCACACGCTGTTTCAATGCCCCAGATGGGTTAGGGAGAGCCAGGCCGCAGAAGCGAGCTTGGGGATGGTCCCAGATGCCGACCACATCATCGGTGTCATGATTTCTGACCCCGCTAAATGGAAAGCTGGGCTCACCTTCATGACCAGGATCATGGAGAGTAAGGAGAGAGAGGAACGGGCCATGCAGGCTGAGGATAGACCATAGGGTGTTGTATGTGATACAGAAACTGGGATATAGGACACGGGAGTGTGCACGGTGCCTAGTGCATTAGTGATAGATCTGTGATACTAATGATGTGTCAACGTGGTGTTGTGAATGCATTCGATAGATATGTGATACTAGTGATGAGTTAATGTGGTGCTGTGAATGTGTTTGTACATTGTCGTTTACAACTGTTGCCATGTGTTGCGCGTGGAACAACGAGCGTGCGTAGAATGGTCTGTCTACAACCATGCAGCACATCGAAGGAAAGGTAATAGGACACCGCTGCCCGCGCCTGATGCAATGTCTTGAAGACGGTCCCAGGCGCGGTAGACGGTTGGGGGGGGTTTTAGTCGGAGTAGCGCCCGACACTACCAGAGCTGATAGACACCAAGGCTCTGGTGCCAAGCGGTTTCCCCCTTCAGAAAGAACGAAAAAAAAAAAAAAGTCAGGCTAGGTCAGGTTAGGTTGGGTTAGGTTGGGTGAGATTACCAGAGCTGATAGACACCAAGGCTCTGGTGCCAAGCGGTTTCCCCCTTCAGAAAGAACGAAAACAAAAAAAAAAAAAAGGTCAGCTTAGGTCAGGTTAGGTTGGGTTAGGTTGGGTGAGGTTAGGTCAGTGTTGCCACCTCGAAGGATTTATCTCCTCTGTGGGACTTTTGAGGTCCACGAGGGACAAAGGAACATTAATTTAGTTTCAAGGGATTTTCTCTCCTGCATGTATAGGTATGAAACTCTGAATTTGATTCAGCATCATCAAGCGATGAAAAATGAAAACTGGAGGTGTATTAAGTGCGCTACCTGGTAGAGGTGCAGGAACATAATTAAAGAAACCTAATATAACGGAAACAGAACGGAACCTGTAAGCTGATGATATTCACTGCACGGAGGATTCACAAGCAAATCACACGGCATTTACATGATCGTGATTTTGTATTCGGAATGTTCGCATTCGCTCATTCTCATTCGCCTTAATCGCGTTCACCACTTCGCCACTTGCGTGTATTTATTTTGGATTGTGGTGACATTATAATGGAATAATCCTCTGATTGTGATTCTGAACATTCGGAGCCCCAACGAGAAAAATATAGGAGTACTACCAAAATATTTGAGGAAGCTTGGATGAAGGACCCTCTTTCCAAAATGTGGCTTGCTCCAGATAAACATCATAAGAAAAAATGCAGGTAACATCTTATAGTTAATATAGTTTGAAATGATTTATAATATTACTGATTATTATTTATCATTCAAGATGCAAAGTTTGTGGTGTGGAACTGGCTTGTGGTAAGAGTAAATTGATCAAGCATTCGCTAAGACAAAAATATGAATGCTGTCAATACATCAAAGCCATTAGTGAATTATTTCGTCGACAAGACTGAAAAAACACAACATGTTGAAAATGTGAAAAAGGCGAAAATGAAGCTAACAGTATTTTTTGCTGAACACAATGTCGCTACAATGGCCGTAGATCATTTAGTTCCTCTACTGATAACTATTTTTGGAGATTCAAGAGTCTGTAAGGATATGAACCTCGGAAGAACAAAATGTGACTAACTTATCAATAGCGATTGGGACCCACGAAACTAATCGTTTAGTTGGTCATTTGAAAATTAATTATTTTTCGATACACTGCGATGAAAGCACGGACATATTGAAAAAAAAAAACATGTGTTTATTGGTTAGATACTGCGACAACACAAATGAGTTCAAAACCAATCTCCTGGAATTGGTTTCATTGGATGCCACCGATTGCAGCGCATCAAAGATTTATGATGCTTTCAAGAATTGTTTGACTAAATACAATATTCCATTGAACAATATTATTGGTGAGAGATTATTATTTAATATTATTCATGAAGTATATTGACATGTATATGATATTTTTTAAAGGCGCTGCATCTGATGGTGCCAATGTTATGGTTGGGGAGAGAAATTCTTTTTTTTTTTTTTCATTTGAAGCAAGATGTACCTCATGCCGTATTGATAAAGTGTATATGTCATTCAGCAGCATTGGTCGCCAATAAAGCATGTGGATAATTGCCTAGAGGACCAGAAGATCTCATAAAAAATATAGCAACTTACGTTTCAGGAAGCGCTAAGCGATGTGCAATTCTAGTATAGTAGCAAGGATATTTTAATGAAGAGAAAAAGGAAATTTTGAAATTAGCAAATACACGTTGTGTTGTTCGAATTTTTGATAATTGGAACGTATTCGAACATTTCTCTTTACTGGCGGTTATTGAGGATAAATTAAAAAGTGCTGAAATGATGCATAATGATATGCAAAATATGTTTTTAAAAGGATATCTATCTTTTATGAAGTATGCTTTACATTTCATCAACTCTTTCAATGCATTGTTTCAGTCTAATAGTATATTAATTCATAAGCTACATGACCACTTTCTGAATTCACTTATACAGTTATGCTGATGCACC